AATTTTTCAACGCCTTTCGCAAAAATAAAATTGTTTTGTGTTCCGATTTTTTTTGTTTCATAAAAAAATGTCTGAAAAGTTTTCCATAAATTTTTGGAAAATTTGGGAAAAATATTCCGATTACAATTTTTTTTTTACCCAGGATATTTCTGAATATATGAATGCATGAATATTGAACCGGCACTTCGTCATAATCCCCGAATGCGAGATAGAATTTTTAATCAGGATGAAGTGCTTGTTAAGAATGTTACAAATCCTTTCGCCTGGAGTTAATGATTCTGGCCTGGGCTTTTGGGGTTTGAGAAATGAGTGGGAAAAGGGTGACTCGGGTGGCAAATAGGTCGAGAAATTTCAGGGGAGTTATACCTAACGAGCGTGAAAGACAACAAATTAAGGAAGACTTGGAGTTTGCATTTCTCTGTTGGTTGTGAAAATATTACTGATCCTCGGGGTCGTTGAGTCGATTCGTGTATGTACATGGTTCGTCACTCTGGGTATCAGGGAACCGAGAGATGGAAAACAGAGTTTTGCCAAGTGGAAAAGGGAGATGACGTGGTAGACGAATGAAGAAGCCAAATGCCTGGCGTTGCATTGCGCCGGGGATTTCCCCGCTGTTTCACAGAGTTTCAGTGAAAAATAATATCGAGATTCTCACAGAGGCGAAGACTTAGAGACCCCAAATGGGACTTTCGCGATCTCCCCTTCAATTAGTGGTAATTTCCATTTTTTTAAATAATTATTTGAACTGAGAATTTTCCAAGTGCCCACCTTCTCACCAGATCACTCTTCAGGAAATCGATTTCAATGATCCAATTCCTTTTTTTATATTCCTCCAACCCTGAAGATGATATTAAATGATATATTTTTTTTTAATGGACATGTCAGAATCGGAGGAACATGGCGATTTTTTTTATTCATCCATTCATCAAAAAAAAATGTCGTATCGTTTCGACCATTAGAAGTTTGCAATTTGTCTCTTAGATTAATAATGAGTTTGACACTGCAAAAGTTTTAATAGCGGTCCAGCAGACCAACAGTTCAGTGCAAAAGTTAAGAAAAAAAAGGGGCGAGAAAGTTGAGGAGAACTTGAAACACCACGATATTTCTCCTAAAATTCGAAAACAAATTCGAAAGGGAAAAAAAAATTGGAAAGGGAAAAAAAAATTCGAAAAAAAATTCCAACGGTCAGACTTGACTCGAACCCCTGAGCGATTGGAATTTCGCGTTTTACGATAACCAATTGAATAATCATACACCAGTGGCATGCGATAAACTTCATATTTATGCATTCTCACCTGAGTTGACCCCAACATCCTGTCCCCGCATTAACAGCAACATTAACTCCAACAAAAAACTTATAAATTCTTTTTATCTTCATGCATAGTAGAATGATTTACACGGAGTGGTTGTTTCGTTGAGTCAGAACAAAAAGGCGGGGGAGAAAAAAAAATAGCTAGATGTATTTAAAACCGTGCGAAAGGTATTCCCGGGTATTTTCATCTGTCAACGTCACTTTTAACATCCGCAATCCCCGGGGGTGAGCTTATTGTACATAAATACGCGTCCAACCGCATTATTCAGTGCGTGCACAACAAAAATCGCGCAACACTCGTGTCTGATGTACCCCATTTTATGCCTCACTTTATATTCTCATTAATTACACCGAGGGAGTACGGTACACCGAGGGAGTACGGTACACCAAGGGAAAACACACTGTGGAGTGTTCGTCGGTGTCATAAACTCATTTTTATACCCCCAGTAGTAGAAATGGATGGACATTGACATCATCTGCCCATTAAATTTTCCGACGAAAGCAATAAAACGGGTATGAGAAATTTAATCTTCCATTGGAGATTTAATTTTTTTAATTAAAAATTTCACTTCCTCGTACTTGGAGGAGTGAATGCATTGTCTCCTGCTTTGACGCCTCTCTTGATACATTTGTACGGGAAAACTAGTGACAAATGCATTTCGGGGATAAGAGTTTGGGCTTCAGTTGCTGGATGGCTCAATAAATTCCTATCAGAAGTTCAACAATAGGGGATGGCTACTGTACATTTTCACCCGCATCTTTCTCCTTCTCGCTTTTGCCGAGTTTCACGAGAATTCCGGATGTCTGTAGAACAGGAAAAACTTTTCACGAGTGAGAATCGATGGATGGGTTGGGAGAATTGTTAGGCAAGGGAAATCGCTGGAAACTAATTGATGGAAGTTTTAGAGGTTTAGATTCGAGATTATCAAGGCATTAATGAGAGTTTTTTATTTTTCAAACAAATTTCAAATCAGGAGTGCATTCCTAGGAATTCTAAAGAATAATCCGATACTATTATCGAATTTCTAGTCACGAGCGGATATTATTCCCCATTAATTTCAATTAATTATCGACAGCGAATCTTGAAATAATAATCATAAAACGTAATTGCGAGGAGCGGTAAAATCTTGCATTTGCCCCTCGGCCATGAGATCTCTCTTTCTCAACGAATAACGGTTAAGTATCTATCGAGAAATGGAGGAAATTAAAGGATGAGAGGAGAGAAAAAAAAAATTGCACAAACGGAGATGAAGAGCACTTGGGATTCGCCTCAAGACGTAAACTAAAAATCCGTTTGAGGCGCAGTCCTTGGAAAAATCAATGGAGGGGTGGAAAATTTTTTTTTTATCGTTTCGTTTTACTGTTCTCTTTGCTTGACCTGACAGTTTTACCAACATGTGCAGTGAATTGCTTGATCACAAATAAACTTTACGAACTAGGGACTAAACTGAGGGTAAAACCACGGAAACATTAGAGTCCACATGAGAGAGACTTCTTGAATATGAGGGGAGTTGAGGTAGTTCTCTCGTATTGTCTAGCAAACATCAGATGAAGTTGTACCCCGAGCTATTCACTATTATGTGCTAAATCCGGATTGTTGTCTCTGAAATGTTTGCGAATATCGTTGCTCCTCGCTATAATCATCCCTTTGGATTCCTCAGACGAAATGAGTGGATAATTATCCGGCATTCACGTTTGCCATCAGCATTTTCTCGAATAGCTCAGCGTTTTCGTGATAATGAAGTTCTAAAATGAAAATTAAATCGAGTCGAATTAAATTCATACATTGTTTTTCTCTCCGTCATTTATCGAGTGTCAGAAAAAAAAAATAATTAATTGAATGTATTTTATACGTGACTACACAAATTGGGACAGACTGTCAAGTGTTAAAGTGGAAAAATTCAATTGAAAGTTGAAGTCCTCCGATTCTGAAGTGAAATCTGAGAATTTGTAAATCGGAATAAAATTCCAATCGATTTCAAAGCCCCGAACTTTTTTATCTCAACTGCAAATATTTTTCTTGGAGGAGTTTTCTCGACTGATAACGGCCCCCACTACCCACTCCACTATCAAAAAGTACGAGAAGTCGTGTACTCAATTATCCGATAACAATCGAATCCGACTGTGGCCACTATTTTACCAAGAGCCAAGTCCCACCCCGAAATTCGTAAGTTCACAATAAATTACAAGAGTCGTACGCACGTACCCGAATTCCATTTCTACCGAGAAGTTTTGTTC